TCCAAGACGGTACCCAGTGCTGCATTCCCATTGAAGGGGCAAGGGCTTTCTAGCAGGCCTTTTAAATGAGGGCATTAATGAGGACTCTACTTTCATGACCTAGCACCTCCCAAAGGCCTAAATAGGATACTAAATAGGATCATCCTGAGGATTAGGATTTCATCATGTGGATTTGAGGAAGACATAAACATTTAGCCCATTGCAGTCACTATCTTAGATTTCTAGAAATTATATCCCTGGCACATATATCATTAGGTTCTTCTTTCTGTAAGATCTTTGGGATACAAGCCCAAGATGCGAGCAAGGAATCTGAAGGAAGAGGGTATTCACCGCACACACTACACCCGAAAAGGAAGAGGAAAGCTGTCGCGGGCATCTCTAGGGACCAGCTGCTGTCTCCACCTTGTAGACCGCATGGTCTCTTTCCTGTGCAGCTTTCTCTGTGCATCCTTCCTTTGGCCTTTCCTCACCACTGATGTCTTGTGCTTTCTCTAAGATTCTACCCTCTTCCCTATGGGTGGTGTCCATGGTTCTTCAGCCAATGATGACGTCTCAACATTAAGTCCCATAATGAACTGGCAAATGCATTGCGGTTTTTTGTTTAAACGGCCTGAAAAGATCTGAATGACCTGAATAACACAAAAGATCTGAATAACACATCAGTTCAATCCAGACGCACCGAGTCTCACTGCATGGGTGACATCTCTGAGGCACACTGCAATCACCGCCTCCGAAGCGAGTCCCAGCATCTTACCTTAATGCTCCGCAAGGGATTCTGATACAGAGGCAAGTTTGACAGCAACTGAGGGAGCTCAGCTAGGGACTGGGTGTCCCTGAGGCAGATGCCCTTTGCTGGCCCAATCCTGTGGCGGCAGATAATTATGTGGTACCCAACACAGCCCAGGCTAGAGTGGTATACAGTTTCCTACTGTTTCTGTACCAAATTAACATAAACATAGTACTGTACCTAAAACAGCACAAATTACCTTACAGTTCTGGAGGTCTAAAGCCTCAAATGCATTTCACTACCTTAAAATCAAGACCCTGGCAGAGCTGTACTTGGGACTGCGAGGGGTGGGACTGTGTGTCCGCTTCCTTGCCTTCTCCGGCCTCTGTGTGATGTCTGCAGCTACTGCTCCCTTTCTCCATCTTCAAAGCCAGCAACGGCTGGCTGTGTCTTTCTCACAGAACACATTCTGACACCAATTCTTCTACTCCCTCTTCCATATTCAAAGGGCCCCTGTGATTACACTGGGCCCAACCAGATAATCTGGGCAATCTCCTTCTCTTGAAGCAAATGCTTAGCATACTTTCCCCTTGCAGGTACCATAACGTATCTCCAGGTTCCCAGGTAAGGGCATAAACACGTCGGAGAAGCTATTATTCCGCTTACCACAAGGACCACGTGCAACAAAATGTACTGGGCAGGCAGACCCACTCACCAGAGATTATGGCCAAGCAACCATCATCAACACAAACAACGCAGCTTCACACTGAACATTAATTACAGTGTGAGATACAGATCGACGATTAAAATTTTAAGAGTTTTAAGTTGGTTTTCATCACTTATACTTTGTACCAAAAGATATCCCAGTTATAAAAACAAGAGACTAAAGCATTTCTTCAAAAGTATAAAAATACATTTTTACCCTTTAGTAATTTATAAGGAATCTTCTTGTAATTAAGTGGATTTAAATATTTTATTAATCACTACTATCAAGAATCAGTTGTAAATTAGCTTAAACTCCAGAAGAAATGTTTTAAAATACATTACGTAATTTTTAAGTTACTTTCTCCTTAGCCAGTTATAGAGCTATTAAAATATATTAACAGCAATGCAACAAAATTATTTTAAAGAAACAAATACTCATCTGCAGTGTTTCTTCTTCAAAATATGTGAATGTACTTGAGTTTCTAAAAGAAAAAAATCTTCCCACGCTTGAGGCTACTGGAATGTGCAATTTTATGGAGGATTTCTAGTTATTGTTTCTGAAATATTTAACTGTGAAAACCTGTCACCAGAAATGGCACCTGAACTAAACAGAAGGGGTGGGAAGAAGTGAGAAAACCAGACCACGACATACTGGTAAATGTTAAAAGGCAAAAATAGTGTAACTTCAAAAAGCTTGGAAGAACAAAGCATTTGCACGTGCATTTGAGTCTAAAAAAATAGATTATTCCTTGGGTATTTAACACTAATATTCAACATTAGAATAACAGAAAGTCTTCTTCATGCTTGTACCTGCCATCAATATATGCATACAAACAGACCATATATGTAATGATCGGTTTATTTGTTGAACTAGTCAGCTTTCTCGCTGACGGGACAAAATGCCTGACACACACAATTTAAAGGAGGAAGTGGTATGAATGTTTCAGAGGCTTCAGTTCATGGCTGGCTTGGTGTTTACCTCGTAGCAGCTAAGAAGGAGCACAGAGGAAAAGTGTGCCTGAGAGAGAAGCACCCTCCAAAGGCACGCCCCCAGTGACCCACCTCCTTCAAGGCGGCCTTGCCTCAACTGCACACTCACTGTGAAAATCACCAGCGCCCTCATGATCTAGTCATCTGTTTAGGAGTCTCTTAAACCACTCAAATTGACAATTAAGATTAACTGGCACAAGTTGAACCCTTGTCAACTTGACACCTAGTCACATCTTAAACCAAACTCAATCTCCAAATAAATATATTAACATGGTCATAATTCTACCTACTATACAACCAAAAGCACAATAATTCTTTCCACAAAGTCTTAATAGTTCCAGCATTATGGGCTGGGGATTTAGCTCAGCAGCACAGTGCCTGCCTGGCAAGCGCAAGGTCGTGAGTTCGATTCCTGATACCAGAAGAAAAACAAAAAAGCAAAAACAAAAACAATAGTTCCAGTATTGCTCAAAAGTCCCAGTCCAAAGTCTAAAACCAAACTACTCGATCCTATGATACAACAGCACATGGTAAAGATTCCCATTCTAAAAGGGAAGAATAAGGAAATAGGAAAAAATCAGACCAAAGCAAAGCCAAAACCCAGCAAGGGCAAACATTAAGTGTTATAGTTCCATGTGTGGCATCTAGGGCGCATGGTGGCAAAACGTGAGCTCCAGAGGGCTTGGACGGACCCCACCCTTATGATCTCACTGGTTGTGACCGACACGGCTTCTCTCTTATAGGCTGGCTCCACTTACTACCTACAGCTTTCTATAGCAGATGTTCTCACATTCCTACTATCTCTGACTTCTTGGGGCGTCTGCACTGTGCCACTGCACTGATTCCTGCAGCTTTTTGCATCCCCCCAGAGGCACACTGCCTGGCCTCCCAGGCCTCCTTCTGAAATCTGGCTTGAAGTCTCTGAAAACAACAGCACCACGTGGACGACGCCAAGGTCCAACAGCAGCGCGAGCAGTAACCAAGCCCCAGCGGACCACGGCTATGGTGCCTGGACGGTCGCGCACAGCGACGTGACTCTCAGCGGCCCTTCCAGAGCGGAAGACCTGAGCTGCCATGTATCTTCTCAAATTTACACCCTTGAGCTTGCAATCAGTGGCGTTTTGCTGATTCCCAAGAGCTCCACAAGACCTCCTTATTCCTTGTCCTGATGTACAGTACTTGGTTTCTTTTTAATGGTACTAATCTCTTTAACAACTATACTTCCTTCGGTCCCAACGTGACACATTTCTTTTGGGGCTAAAATGCTGAGTGTTTCAAATCTTCTTGCTCTGCTCTTTGCTCCCAATTCTCAATACAAATATGGCTAAAAGCAGCCTTGCCACAATCAGAACATTAAACGACCTGAATTTCCTCTGCCACTTCAAATTCAGCCTACACAGTCTCAAGACACAGGAAAGTACACATAAAATGTTCTGCTAGAATGTACCCCACGGGGCCTGTATTCAGCATCTTCACTCCCAACTGGAACCTGCGAGCCTGGCCCTTACTCTCACACCCCTGTCAGAACCCGAGCCCCACGCAGTCACTCACCACACTCTGCTTTCAGCATTCTAGGCTTTCTCCAGCTCCATTCTCTGAATGTCTCCCAACTACTCTCACAAGCCAGTTAGTTCCAAAAGTTACTGAACCACGTGGTCAGGTATAGTCACAGCAACGACCCACTTTTGGTACCAATTTTCTGTACTGATTGGCTTTCCTGTTGGGACAAAACGCCTGACACATACAGCGAAAAGGTGAAAATGGTTCACCTGGCTCACAGCTTCTGAGGTGTCCCTGACTGGCTGGTTCCGAGGCAGGCATATGGTGGCCAAAGGGAGTGTTCGAGCACAGCTGCTCACTTCAGGGCAGCCAGGAAGCAGAGCACCAGGACAGAGGCACGCTCCCCAGGGGCACACCCCCAGGACCTACTGCCTCCGAACAGCACAGCCAGCTGTGAGTATCGGTGGGTAACCTACTGGTAACTACAGCACTTCGTGATCCCACCACCTCGCCAGGAGTCTCAAACTAGTCAAGTTGACAATCAAGATTAACGAACATTTGTTGACTTCAATACAGAAGCCAGTACCTGCATTTTAACTTTTAAGTTGGTTAAGATCAGAAAATCTTAATGCTTTTTAGCTTTATTCTAGGACTTATCTGCCAATCAATCAATAGCTACTGAGCAACTACTATGTACCAGGTACATTACAAGTTTACCTAGTTTTCAATCTATCACATTTATAAGAATAACCTGTACCGTTCAAGTTTAACAAAACAATTGACAATTTTTTAAAAAAATACTACCAGCTATCTTCAGTTTGAAGAACTTTTAAAAAATTAACACTACTTTAAATTTGCATACATGGTCTTATCTAACAATTCCTGACTTGGTAATTTTAGCATTACATCTTCACTAAGTATCACAAACCCAGGATGTTGTAGAAGTTAGCTATAGCCTGGAAAATGTAGAGGGAAGAAAGTTCTTTCCTTTAAGCTGAAATCATATAACTGTTGAAGCCCATTCAGTAAGATGAAGTTAAAATGTCATCGCTAACCAGAAAAAAAAAAGATGACTTACTGAGACTGCTCAGCTGGCGTATGATTGCAGAAAGAGTGCTGTTGGTCACACACTCAAGCTCACTGGTGATTCCTTCGGGCAGAGCGCCCCGGCACAAGTGCCGGGGCTCGATGTTCCTCTTCACTAAAGGCATGGCTCACAATCTGAAAGTGAGAAGATGTTTTTTAAACCTCACGTTCACATTTTAACAACAGCGAGTTTTAGTTTCCTTAGACATCAACTCTTTCCCAGGAACTGTCATCATCCTATCATTCCAACATGACAGAATTGGTTAAAATGCAAAAATGTCTCCTTATTCCAATGAACTGCACAGATTTCAGATGTACTGTAAGTATACTCCTCCTTTTATAGAAAAAAATACAATAAAGTTTTCTAGCTAAGCTTGAGAGAAGGAATACACATGCATTTTTACCTCCTTTCTTCTTCACTGAAATGATGGCAAAAAGAAAAGGTTAACAGTCCACAAGGACAACTATATTTTGATGCTGAATATCCCCTTATGGCCCATTCCCTAAAGCTTCATGCCTACCATGCTGCTTTTGGGAAGGAGTAGAACCTTTAAAAGGCTGGACCTGGTGGGAGGTGCTGAGGTCATCGGGGAGCTACTCTGGAAGGGGATTTGGGGGCTCCCGCCCCTCCTGGTGATGAGGTGAGTGGTTTTCCCCACCATGTGCTTCTGCTATGATGTTCTGTCTCCCCAAAGGCCCAGAGCAACAGGGCCAACCAATCATGGAGCAGAATCTCCAAATGAGGAGCCAAGTTAAATCTTTTTTCCTTGTAAGGTGATTATCTCAGGGATTTTGTTATAGTGATGGGAAGCAGACTACCATAAATACTAAAAGTAGGATGTAGAAACAGCTACAAAACTGCAGATAAAATGTAACCAGGTTATGAGAGGAAAAGGCTACACCCAGATTGTACATGGGAAGTAAGCCCAACTGAGCTCCAGAAAGGCTCCCATACCAGAGGCTCAGACATAGGAAGAACCAGGTATCTGTGAAACAGGAATAGAGTAAAAAGAAAACAGGAGGAATGGCTTTTAAAACCCCTGTAAGAATCCCTTCTCCCTCCTGGGCTGCCCTTCTTTCACCAACCCAGCATGTTTCACTCTTCACATAAGAGGAATCAACGAATCTGCATCTGGGACACTAAACAGAGCCCAGCGGAGGGGAAGGAAATGCACTGAAAACAGAAGCATTAAGCCCACGACTACACAGAATGGCTTTCCTCCTCCCCAAAGAGACTAGAACGTTTTTTCTGGGGAATGCTTGAAAAGACTTCCAAACACTGACACTGGGGAGGAGTCTGGAGAGGGGTTTTCCTACAAAAACTGTCACTGAGGTCACCCTCCAGTAACACTTGTCAATTGTCCCCCCAAGCACACAAAACATAAAAAGCTTTTAGTGACTTGGATTAAAACAAGTAGAGAGAATCATGCCAGGAAGGACTTCCCCAGTATCATAGTATTAGCTTTCCCCTCTCTCCTCAGAAAGTATTACCAATTCAACTAAATCAAATCACAACTTTCTGTTTAAGGAGATATATGGAGTTTCAAACCCACTGCTCCTACAGCAAACCCACTCCTGGTACAACACAGAAAATGTGGCTGGGATATACTTTCCTTTTGACAAGCTCATCCTGTTGCCAAACTTGCAGGGACAGAAACACAGAAAGGCCCCGTACCTGGGTGCACTTTTTTGGCCGTGAAACCAGCTCCAAAAGCCAGCTTGCAATTGTTGCTGAGGAATAAATTAATATCCTGTTCGTAGTTTCCTTTTTGGTTGCCTGAGGTGTAACAATCTCACTAGTGTAATCACTGAATGGTACACTACACTTAAGAGAAGTTGGGAAGTAAGTAAGTCTCTGCTTTTCTTCTGCTGCTCTTCCTAACTTTTGGTTCACTCATCCAATGAATTACTTACTGAGGACCTCTCACTTGCCCAGCAGTGTACAAGGTGACCAAGATGCAATGGTAACTGAAGACGGACAGGGCTGCTCCCACAGCGGAACTTCAAAGCAGGAGACGGACAGCACGCAGGCTGATGCACCTCCCGCTGGGACTGGTGCTCCAAGGAAGGACTGCGGGCTCTGAAACCCCGTGGGGCGTAGGTGCAGACCTATCCAGGAGTCACGGGCAGCATCCCCATAGATGCAACTGTCAAATGGAAATCTAGGGATGAACAACAGCGAGCTCACGAAAGGGCTCTGGCAGAGGCAATGTGGAGAGTGACATGGAGGAGCATAAAGAGAGCTGGTATCAGGGAAAAGTTCTGTTGAATCCCAAGTTTGATTTGCTGCTTTTGCCTCACATCCACGACAGTGGTGTTAGACACACTGACCGTACTGCACCTGCTCCCTTACTGACGGGTGCACGCCTGTGGTGCATCGCTCCACCTTTCTGTGCTTTGGTCACCACCGTCTAAAGCGGGTAAGAGCGTTTCCCCTGGGAAATGAGGAAGAACCTGCCTCCCAGAGTGAGATTTAGTGAGCTACCGTCTACACAAATCACTGACAACAGGGCCTGATGCATAACAACACTCAAAAAATTGACTGGAGTAATTTTATACTGATTGCTATCCCATCAATTATTCTTATATAATAAAAATGGTTTGCAGTTAAGAGTAAAAACCTGAGAAAGAGGCAGTATTACATAAAATTCATTGAGGAAAGGTAAATACCCAAGGAAGGAGTGCTAAAATATGGAAATTCTGAATACCAAGGTCTCTAAGCAAAAGGTAGAAGATTTATTTTGAGCAATTTCTTCCTGAGAGAATCATTTAGAGTAACAGGGTGCTAGCTCACAATACATTAAGTCCCCAACTTACAAATAGTCCAGTTGCAAACTTTCACAGGTGTACTGCGTAAGACTCACATTGTCAGATACAAAGGAATCTGACTTACAAGTATTCTCCTGGAACAGAACCTGCTCATAAGATGGGAACTTACTGTAAGATAAACTAGAAAAACAGAATTCCTGGTCAGGGATATAGCTCAGCAGCACAGCACCTCCCTGGCAAGCACAAGGTCCTGAGTTCAATTTCTGGTATCAAAAAAAAAAAAAAAAAAAGAAAGAAAGAAGCTTAATAAAAACAAAGTGTAAGACAGAAACATACTGAAAACTGATCAGCAGGAACTCACTCCACGAGAACTTACAAGGAAAGCAAGTAACAACAGCAACAAAATGTATCTGTAAAGAAGCACAGAGGAATGACTGGGGAGAAGCAAGTGAGTAACAAAAGTGCTACCGACTCCACATGTTATAAGCCTGGAATTTGTAATGGTCTGTGGGTTTTTTATTTTTTTGGTACTGGTCTGTTTTTGGGAGTGACCCGAGCATTTCTCACCTAATTCTTCAAAAGAAGTCTTCCCAAGAGCTTAGAAGCTTGTTCCGGTGCTGTTAGCTTTACATCACTGTGACAAAGTACCGAGAGCAGCAACTTGCAAGGAGGAAAGGCTGATCTGGGCTCATGATTTCAGGGGGCACATGGCGAGGCAGAGCATCATGGCGGGAGCACCTGGCAAGGGCAACTGCTCAACTCACGGTGACCAGGAGGTGAAGACAGAGGAAGGGGAGGGCTGCGGTCTCCCTGTCACCTTCAGTGGCAGACCCCAGTGACCTCACCTCCTTCCTCCTCCTGACTGCTCTGCTGCCTCAGACTAGCACCATGGGCTGGGCACAAGCCTTCAGCACATGGGCTTTGGGGGACACCCAGATTTAAACGAGAGCAGGGCGGAATGCTGACTACATGCACAATAGGCTCCTCCATCACATTCCTATTTATTCAGGATTAGACATGTGCTGTTTCTTCTATTTTAAACCTCTAATATGGCAAGAATCCTATCAGCATAAGATCTCCCCAGTCAATACTCCTATTTATTTAGACCTGCAACTGTTCAAATACAGAGAACCCTAATCGCCTAAGCTGCTGTCCTAATGACACGTCTAGAACATATCCAAAGTGAGCTAAATATTTTCCCACTTTTTCCTGAGCTGAGTGGCTCTCCAGCAAACACGTATGTCCTATCAGTACATCTGGGGGTTGCTCAGGCGGTCTCCCACATATGAAATGTCCGTCCCTGTCATTCACCTCTACAAGTCTGCACCCCATACTGTCCCACCCCACACCCGCCAAAGGCCTCCAGTTCTGCACACGAGACTCCCTCTCTCAGGCTGAGTGGATAGGGCAGGAAGCTCCTGGTGGCGCACTTGCCGAGTGCTTTGAGTGCTGACCTTGACAACAAACGAGAAGCTACTTCCTTAGAGATGAACTAACGATATCTTTCATTTTCTTTTTTCAAACAATGTGATGTCTAGGCCCTGCTGGCTGTGGACGGCCTGCCCTTCTGAGGTTACCCACTCGCAGAGACAGTAAGGATTGAGCAAGCTGTTCAAAGGCAGATGAACCAATCCAAGACCACACCCCATCATCTCCTCTTCTGGGCTGCCACACTCTAGGCCACTGTCCTCCTGCCCTAATCACCCCATTGTGGGGCAAACAGAGCACAGGGCAGTGCAACTGGATAGCAAAAGAAACCACAAAACGTCATAAACGTAAGCAAATAAGATGGAAACACAGAAAACATGGACAGATCCCTAGGTCCATACAAATTACCAAAACAATCAAGAAGCTGTAAAGCCGAGCCTGGTGGTTCACATCTGTAATCCCAGCACTTGGGAGGCTGAGGCAGGAGGATTTATTACTGCAAGTTCGAGTCCAGCCTGGGCTACAAAGTGAATCTGAGGCCAGCCTGAACTGCATAGTGAGACCCTGTCTCAAAAAAGAAAAAAAAAAAAAAACAACAGATATAAAAGTTCAAAATAAACCAATACCAATCAATGAAATTGAAGATATAATTAAAAATCTACCAACAAAGGTCTTTATTTCAATCTGATAAAAGCTATCTGTGACAAACCAACAGCTAATATTATACTAAATGGACAAAAACTGAAAGCTTTCAAGCCAAAATTAGCAGCAAGACAAGAATCTCCACTGTCAGCACTCTTATTCAGTATAGATCTGGAAACATTAGCCAGAGCAATTAGAAAAGAGAAAGAAATAAAACAAATAAGGATAGGAAAGGAAGAAGTTAAATTATCATTATTTGCAGATGACATGATACTTGACATAGAAGACCCCAAAAA